GTTTTTGTACAGACGGCACTTCAGACAGCAGTATGCCGTAGTCGGCAATCTTCCGTTTTGGTATAGAGTGGGACAGGGAGGGGGTGATGCTACTGTAGTCGAACGGTGGGACGGACGTGCAGTTCAGTTGTTTTTGGGCACGCATACGGTGCTGCAGGGATTTTAAGGTGTACCTCTTCGGGCTCTTGGATACCTTTTTCTCGTTATATGTGTGCGTGTTCTTTAGATCCTCAGATGGCTCTAGCGCTTTCGTGACCACGGGCTGAGAGTCTTTTGCTAGATTTTGGCATTTGGCAACTGACATACGGTTTAATGTGAAGACAACAACAACAACAACCGACTACCCTCTGACTAGGAAATACTCCACTCACTGAATACCTAAATGTGCATACCTTCGACTAAAACTTATGAGTAGAATATTAAAATTTTATTTGTCTACCATTCACCTGTCTGTGTGAAAGACAGGCAGGGGTATTTGTACTTAGAGTACCACACCGCACAACAACAAACGCACGTAAATTCTCTACCGTTGACCTCTGCATAAGTTGTGTATCCTGTATGCGGTAGATAGAAGAGTGTATTGGCTACCTTGTGCAGCGTCGTTGTTGGCAGTATTCCAGGAGACAAACAAACTTCTTGCAGTTTTTCGTGAGATGTGCATAGTCTATGCATGCATGTTCGAAACTCAAAGCACAAGCCACAGCTTTGTTTGGCGTACCACAGCAGCGGCAAAGAAATCATCTAGACTACAGCACAGTTTGTGTGTTTTCGTCCTATTTATTATGGCGACAGNAGGAATATTAATGATATGTCAGAGATATTTCGCTGTGCACTAGCAGCAGTACGATGCTGCAGATGCCAGGAGGCTGTGTAGCCTACCTCAGAGGTTCACACTCTGTGCGTCTCCAACCGCGAGAGACTTGGAATGGAAATATGAAGATGCTTTTACTAGTTGCTGACTCCCGAGTCAGATGTTGCCGGTACTGAAGAGGAGTGAAAGGAGTGGGCGAGCTTCGGGCTGCACCACTCTTCTCGAATACCGGACAAATAAGCCAATCACACGAAAGATCCAGAATGCTTCCAGAATGTTTTCGGGAAGCCCTCCTACGTTCTAGAAGAGTATCAACTACAACCTAGATCTAGAACGCTTCCAGAAGCTTCCAGAAGGAACCAGAAGTTCCCAGAAAGGATTCCAGAAGCTACAGGAGGAACCAGAAGTTTCCCGAAGGCTTCCAGAAGCTACACACGTTCTACATAGATGTCCCGGTCAACCTTGACCTAGCATGCTTCCGGAATATTTCTGGAACAAGAGAATACATGCCAAGGAGAGATGGAACCTTTTCTACTGCTACGCAGACTAGTTGCTGCAATCGTATTCAAAGGTCAAACCGTGTCCGACTACTGGTGGTCTCGACGCACGATTTTCCTGACAACAGTTCCCCCTTTTTCGTGGTGAGACGTGTACTACACTTTTCAGCGTATGTAGAGTACTACACTTTTTTCAGTGTATTTTTTTCGTACAACTACTACAACCAACCATCCAAGGCCACACAGGAGGGGGTAAACACCCGGGCTGTTTTCTTCTTTTTATTTATTTTCATAACCCTTTAAAGGAAAGCCCGCCCGACGGTGGCTTGCCTCCTAGATGTAGTAGATGTAGATTCTGCCGTAGACACTCTTGTCCACGAGCACGTTGAGATGGGAAGGTTGCTTGTTATTGCCGAAGCGGGTCTGCTACAGGTCTGACGTGAGGC